AGAAATTCGCCGACAGTCAAATTCTTTGCTGACTTATTCCATGCTCACAGATGTCCTTCCGTTATAAAGTTTCAAATAAGACCTTGGGCGTCAAAATAAGCAACCAATCATGAATAAGCCGATAACACATAAAGAAAATTTCCGCGTTATAACTGACTTTTATCTTAATTGAAAACAATCCATCCATATGCAGATAAAAAAAACATCCAAAGTCCAGTGGCTTTTCTTCCCGAAGATCGACATTTCATTGGTATACGTATTCCAATACAACTTATCTCTCTAACCCTTTTTTTTCAAATTTTTGGGGTGTTGGTTTGGGAACTCTGTCGAACTCTCTTTTCTTCGGCGATCCTCAAAACTGGTCACCGCTGGGACCGACTTTTGAAAAGCGTGATAATATTAGTGAGTTTAAGAAAATGTTGACACTATGCCGGGTAGCTTTTGCGGCGGCACGAAAACGATACAGGATAGGGCTTCTGTTCACACATAAGAACAGGGATTTCGGCGCGATTTCTGTAAAGGAGCGAAGCTGCGCCACGCAGATCTCTAAAGTGGAGAGTCACATATCGGATAGATGTTCATATCATACTGGATAGCTTTTAAGTTTTAAGCTTTCCAGTATAGTGTCAACATAGCCTTAGATTCACGTTTACGGTAAAGTCGCCATGCGGCAAATTCAAGGTGACAATTTCTCATATTCAGAAATGAGCAGAAATACTTCATATGGATGAATCTGGCATGAATTAGCTACTAGTTTTTGTATTATAAACAGTAAACGACAAGTAGAGAGAGAACTTCGTCATGTGTTCGAAATTGACGTTGCCGTTTTCCGTAAAAGTGAATCTAAAACTCTCTAATGGATTGATATGTTACACTTCATTGAGAAAACAGTGTCAGGCATCTGGAAACTTCGAGGAAACTGCTAAACCAAGAGAGATCTAAAAAGGGCTTTTAACTTGCATTCGCATCATCGATTAGCGAGAATCGAGCGAGCGATCATCGTCATTCATTAAATAGATATGAGTCAAGAGATCATATAACAGAACAGGTCAAGCGTGTCGTTCCTAGAAAGGGAGTTGAATTAAAAGAAAAAGGGAAAAACAAGAAATTCTGTATCAATCATATAAGTTTCATAAACTATGTATTTGTTAAAGTAAACTGCAATTGTCTCTTTGCGACCAGATGGCGGAATTTAACAATTTATGGACAGGATCGGAAAATAGTGAGTAATAACTACAAATAGATATTTTGGCGTTTTTACATGGTACTCCGTACTGCCAAGGTCAGTAATACGGTACTGAAATATGAGATTATTGTCCGCTGTTTTTGGTCAAACATTTTATCAACATATAAGCGATAATTAAAATTAACTACTGGCGCCATCGGTCTGACAAACATTGAATTTCTGCGTTTAAGTTTCTTAGTAATGTCTCTAATTGTTCCAACTTGGGGATCTTTGACGTTCCAAAAAAAGGAAAATTTAAACGTATCCTGTGTTGAACGTTATCTGTGAGTTTTAATTGCTTTAAATTTTGTTTGCTTTATTGACCAAACCATTCACGTAATTTATAAAACATCTTCATTAGCAACCTACTCAGACAAGTTTGCTCAGAATTAAGAAGCTTTTTGACACCAAAAGTTGGTAAACATGTAACCGATCAAAGGAGCTGAAAAATTTGAGGTGCGTACGATATAAAACTTTTTAACAAGAATGGCAGATAGAGATGTTTGTAACTACAATATTTCATAATCATCTATCAATTTTGATCATCCTGACAGAGGACATATTCATGTCCAACGGCCACAAGTGCGCCGTTTTTGAAATATTCACCTATTAGGGTCAGGACTTTAAAAAGACCTTTTCCATTTCTCTCTAGCTAGCTTTTTCTCCCCAGAAATGCTTAATCCTTAGTACTCAGGCTAACGAGTTGTAAATTGTTAGGGAACGAGTTGAATTTGCGACTTGGACTGACGGGGCCATTTTAACTTTGGGTGAAAGTGGTCATTTGAAATTGTGAGTTACCTTTGTAAAGCCAAACAACATTGTAGTATTTACTTTTATGTAAGGTACGTCGCGGCTCATCAGTGAATTAGAATTGCGACTGGTTAAGTTTGAGTGAGTGAAGTATCAGGTCAAGTCAGGTTTATTTCTCTTTTCAATGAAAGAAACATAAATTAATGAAAACAATAAGTATTTGCATTTCGTGAGACAAGCATGTAGACAACAGAAGCTATAAAAGATAATAATAATAATAATAATAATAATAATTTATTCACTTAATATAGCGCCTTTAGACATTAAAATGATCAAAAGCGCTAGAGGTAGATCAAAGATAGTTTGACAGTTGTAATAGTCGGCTTAATTGTCCTTTAAATTGACTCCTACAAAGGTACTGTTTTTATTTATTTACTCGTTCATCCTTGATAGAAAGAGTGATGAAACAGTATTTTTGAATAGTGTTTTTCGCATACGATAAATTCAAATTGTATGTTCTAATTCTTTTCATCTCGGTATTTTTTTTTTGTTATTAAATTTTGTTTTCTTTTAATTCAATAATTGCCTGATATATCCAGGGCCCGCGGAGCAGTTTTCAAAGTGCGGGGGCCGATCCACCTCTTTTGAAGTAAAGTTGTGGGAGGGGGGGGGGGGGGGGAGGTTGTTGGGTTGTGGACTTTACAAATGGTTTACCTGGTGCCGGCTCAAAATGTTTTAATACAGTTGCAACTCATCAATCATTTTTTTAAATAGTTTAACAAACGAGAAAGGAGTTAGTAACAATAAGGTGTAACCGTGCACAGCAGCATCATAATTTTCGCGTGTTTCATTTACTTCAAAATAAAGCTTGTCCGTTTTCTCCTTGCGGCTGTTTAGAACCTTTCTTTATTCATTGTCACGGAATGGAGCCATGTTTCAGACGGTTTCAACCTTCGAGCAGCCGAAATTGTCCTTTTCCTGCGATGGTTGCGGATTTACGGCCAGAAGCTTGCAGATCGGGACAATTTCATTTATCATACTCTGCAATATCTTGATATTAAAGTGTGAAGACATGGAACGGTTATCCAGAAATTTTTAGCTCTTCTCAAGCTTTAGAAATTTCTAGCAGATATATTTGCTCCTTCGAGCAGTTATTTTACTGAATATAGTCGCTGGGTGCCCCTGAGTTTTGTAAAGGTAGTAGTTTTGAGGATCACCATATGATATAGGATCGAAAAGGACCAATCATCAATTTGGATGCTTCGGCGAGGTCTGTCAGTCGAATATTCTTATTCCATCAAAGATTCTTTTTATTTCAAAATGTGTATTTCTTTTCTTTTCTTTTTTTTTCAAAACGTTGCGGGGGTGGGAAGCAGGGGCCTGCCCCTGCGTGGGCCCTGATATCATACTGTGTTTCAAATAACGCATCAGTTGTCTACTTTTTTTTAAGTTCTTTTTCTCTTTTCTTTTTTGACCGTCGCATATACGAGTCAGTAAATATATTTTCTTTATTGGTATCTAGACTGCAAGGTTATCCCAATATAGAGCACCTTCATCTGGCCGATTCATAGCTTGCAAGAGTTGGTTCATAGAAGCACTCATCTATTTACGACTTTCTCCTCAGACATTTTGTTTTCTTCTAATTCGTTCCAGTAACTGTCTGATGTATTACCCAGTGTTTCAAGCGCATCAGTTGTCTAGTTTTTGTTTATTTCATGTAGCATGCATGTATACGACTGAGGAAGAGCCAGCAAATAAACTTTGCCTTTGTTGTTTTTTAAATACGCGGAGGTTACCTTGTAGACCAGTTTATTTCTTTTATTTGGCCGGTTCATCGCTCAAGAGTTGGTACATAAAAGCACTCTTATTTATGACTTTGTCCACTCAGAATTTCACTTAGAATTTTTGTGTAATATTATTACTATTTTATTGCATTTTTCTCGGTTCTCAGAGACTGTTCAGTTCGTTATTGGATTGCGTTCGGAAAGTGCTGATTTTAGCCATTTTTGACAGGGAAAAACCACTTGTTTCCCCATCACCGACAATGATTTTGCCCTCCCTCTATGAAATAAACGAAAACCACCGGGTATTGCATGGAATTTTTGTTTTGAATACAGAACAAAAATCATTGAAAGTTTATGGCAACAACATGCAAGTTAGCAGACTCTACTGATGTATCAATTAATCTGCATAACGAGAGACTCGGGTTCAGTCCGACCTCATACACTCAGCCACACTCCATGTCTGGTGGATCAGTAGGGTTGGCACTTATAGTTAGCCTAGATGACCAATTTTGATTTCTCTATTTCACGGTTTCCGCATCTATGGGACGATACATTTTATGTAATAAGTGAATTAAGGGAGTTATTGACTGGAAATAGCTCTGAAAATTGTACTAACATCAAACGTATTTGAGCCTGCAGCTGCTTGGATCTTTCTCTAAAAATACATCAGTATCGGGGACATAAAAAACTGTCTTATATTTCGTTTTTTTAGTTGTTCTTGAATCGCGGTTTCAACTTTCAACTTTATCTTAGTAAACTTGAATGCAGCGATTTTGAAATTGACTTTGGTGCAATTCAATAAACTAAAGAATATGGTCTGCGATCGGATAAATTTCCTGAGGGTACTTCTTTATCTAAGTTGTCCCCGGGTTACTATTCTATATATTAACTTACTGATAGGACCATATTATACTTATCCCTGTTATTTTATAGCTCTGCTCGTTAGGTATGTATATAATCTGTATAGCTATATACCCCTTTTGGTCTGAAAATGGGGGAGACAATTTATCCCAAGTTTTAACCTGAAATAGAACAGAGTAAGGAAAGCCAAATTTGTTTGTGTGAAATAGGGTAAAGGATTTAGGAATTATATTACGGCGCACAGCCCCACCGCAATTTCCAGGGCGTCCACATCCCACCCCGACTCGTGGTTATGCATCGGTTCTCCTTCACCAACGAAATTCATTTTTATATGTCAATGAATATTATTCAATATTATTTTATTTTTACAAGCTTGGACGATGGCTGACATGACAGCATTGATAGTTATCAGTTCCTTTATCATGTTCCCAGCTGTGATGATGGCACAGGAAGTTGTAAACCATGGAGGTAATGACTAATGACATCAGGACCAAAATTTTATTGCGCACCTGTTTGTAGGCATTATGTTTAGGCACCCTGTCGTTGTTTCACATACAGAAAGCTGTCAAAAAATCATTCTGAAGTAACAAAAACAAATGAAATCATGATTTTTGCATATAAAAAATGTGCGATCAAGACTTCAAAACCAGCCAAACGCCTTTGTTCAAGACTGATCCTCTGTTTTACTTTCTTAATAGATTTTAAATGAATTTGTATCTTACAAAATCGTGCTATTATTATTATTATTATTATTGTTATTATTATTATTATCGTCATCTTCATTTTTCTATTGTTATAAAATTGTAATTATTCCTGTTCCTATACTACCGTGGCGAAGGTTTAAAATAGGGAGCTTATAAAGCAACAACGACGGCGACTATTACAAAAACGTCAATATTGATATCTGTATTGTACTCTGGTTATTGACCTGATTGGTTAATTAAGTCTCGATGTGATTGGTCCTCGTCAGTTAAGCCGTAATGTTATTGGTTATGAAGACTCGGGTCGTTTCGATCGGTCTTTTGTCACAGTTTAACTGCGACGATCCAGCGACAAGAAATGGTGATGTCAACAATTACACTTCTTATTGATGAACATGCCCCATTTCCAGGCGAAAAATTAAATCGACCAGGACTTTGCGACACGTATTACGCATTCTACAGACTACCATAACTAGAACTCATCTTAGAAAGCTGGCTTACAAAATTAGACCAAAAGCCACTGGAATGGCAGTCAACGGGCACGGTACAAACGACTTATGGCGGACTCAAGCAAAACTGACAAAAACGGAAGAGACTTTATAGGCAAGAGACAATTTGACTAACAATAAACGACTGTAACAACAAACGACAACAAATGTGACAACTCAAGCAAAACTGAAAAAAACAAAAGAGACTTTATAGGCAAGAGACAATTTGACTAAAAATAAACGTCTGTAACAACAAACGGCTTTGACTATGAAGATGACTACCCGACACAGTCCTATTCAGAACTACACCCTGACGATCATGCTCCACCTACTTATGGATTTACAATTACTGTTCATTTATTGTTTTGCTGTTTCGCAGTTTGTCCCGTTCCGATGAATAAAGAAGAAGAGGAGATAATTAAAGAGCAGGAAAGAAACAGAGAACAAATGGAAGAGATCATGAGAGAGATTGAAATCAGTTGTTTAGGTGAGTGATAAAAAACCATGTGAAGAAGTTATAACAGCTTCAGTTGTAGGGGACATCGATATGAGAGGGCTAAATTTTTAACAATACCAAGTAACTGCACTGAAGCACACGTACCATCTCCGCGGTATGGCCAGTACATTATGCATGCGCACAACCATATCACCCGAGCAGTGGCAGCTATGGACAGCTGGTTCACTCTTATTGGGGCTCACCAGCTTGGCATAGCCAATGGGTCAATTAGCAGGGGATAGCTGGCAGCCAACGGAAAATTTTAAAACAACAACAAAGCGTGAATAAAGCTTTCTGAAGCCATTTTAAGCATTTGAGAGATTGCTAGGAAAAATTAATATGTTGCTCACTCCCAGGAAGACTGATGGAAGAGTTCCTAGCCAGCAAGGTGCACCTACAACCTACAACCTGACTTGCTGGAAGTTTCCCAGCAGACGTATGTCCAGACATTACTGGCCAGTTTTGGTGTGGTCATAGGGCAAAATTCACCCCTCAGCAGTGGGGTGGGGGAGGGGTTTCTGATCAAATCAAATCCCCTCAACATCAAATCCCCTCGGACAGGACATTATTTCTTCTACATCTTCCAGCCAGCAAAAATGGGCCTGAAGAACAGATATTTGGAGGAACAGATCCATTGGGTGCCCCTGAGTGTAGCGTAGCAGCACTATACGATGCGTCCTTAGGGGGGCAAAGTTTCTTGATTGAAGTTTTGAGACTAACGTTCCAAGTCCTTTAACAAACATGTTTAGTGAATCACGCCCTGGTTGGTGACATTGAACGAAGACTATTCATAAATTATAATAATTTGAACTCAATTGAACCGTTGCAAATAAATAATTTAAACAACTCTTGATAGGCTGAAAGTGAAAACGGACTTTGCAGGTGGATTGCTTTACGTCAAATAAATTCTTATATCTAACTTCCACTTGCTGACTTGTAGATGAGTGTAAAACAGGACAACATAACTGCCACGATGATGCATACTGCACCAACACCAAGCGTTCCTTCACTTGTACTTGTAAGCCTGGATATACTGGGGATGGTGTTAATTGTGCAGGTAGCAAACCATACGGAGCTTAAACTAACAGGAGCTAATCTTTAGTTTTATGCTATTCCATACCATAAAGATTAGGGCCAAACAGAAAGCTGGAAACTGGTTTCATATTTAGTCAGTGGTATTTGTCAGATCGGTAGTTTCTCTGTGTTGTGGACGGGTGCAATCACAAAATGACGTAATACAAAAGATTAAAAAGACACTGAACAATATCCACACCACATAACAATAGCTAACCAATAATAACTTCCCCATCACCAACAAATACCCCACAAGTCGTATCCTCGAAAAATGTCTGGTGTTAGTTGCAGCCTCTAGATTCCCCGTAGCCTGCGAACAAGCTTACATGTGCGATTTCGACGGAAATTTCCTAGCCCTATTAGTCTGCTCGAGCCGACAAAATTTTCCTTTTCGCGGGCTAAATTCCCCCAGCGAATTAGCTTTCCAACTGTGCAACATGTAAAACTTTGGTTTATCATTTGTATTTTTTAGTTTTTTGGCATTCAATGTAACTTCCTTTTTCTGTTTCGTCCACTATAAAAATTTATCATTTTATAAATATATAATATATATCTATCCCCGTTGGATAGAATCGACACAAAAATCGAACAAGCCCGTTGATAATTCAGCATTAACTCTTGATCTGCAGACATAAACGAGTGTGAAACTAGAAAACACCAATGTGACGTCGATATTTCAGCGTGCGATAACACTAAAGGATCGTACAAGTGTGTCTGCATGTGGGGTTTTTCCAAAAGTGGACATGAACACAAATGTACAGGTAAATATACCACCGAGCACTTCAAGATATCAATTGAAATGGATACTTTAAAAATGTCTTCTTCTTTTGTCGAATTTAAGTGGGGTGAATCAGGTTGAAATGATAAAAGCATCGTCAAAATAGGAACGTATACCGCATGTTATATATGATGCTTAACAGATTTACAGTTTGATAATTCAGCATTAATTCTTAATTTTCAGACATAAACGAGTGTGAGACAGGAAAACACAACTGTGACAACACCAGTTCATTGTGCCAAAACACTAAAGGATCATTTAGGTGTGTTTGCAGGGAAGGGTATTCCGCAAGTGTACCTGAATATAATTGTACAGGTAAATATACTGCCGAGCACTTCAAGATATGTTAATTGAAATGGGTACTTAAATATATCTTCTTCTTTTCAATTTTTCTTTTCGCGGGCTAAATTCCCCCAGCGAAAGCTTTCCAAATGTGCAACATGCAAATTGGTTTATCATTTGTATTTTTTTGTTATTCAGCATTGAATCTAACTTCCTTTTTTGTTTTGTCCACTACAAAAATTTATGATTCTATAAAAATATGATATATATCTATCCTCATTGGATAGAATCGACACAAAAATCGAACCCGATTGATAATTTAGCATTAACTCTTGATTTGCAGACATAAACGAGTGTGAAACTGGAAACAACCAATGTGACCCCGATACTTCAGTGTGCGAGAACACTAAAGGATCTTACAAGTGTGTCTGCATGCCGGGTTTTTCCAAAAGTGGACATGAACATAAATGTACAGGTAAATATACCACCGAGCACTTCAAGATATCAATTGAAATGGATACTTTAAAAATGTCTTCTTCTTTTGTCGAATTTAAGTGGCGTGAATCAGGTTGAAATGATAAAAGCATCGTCAAAATAGGAACGTATACGGCATATTATGATGCTTAACAGACCTGCAGTTTGATGATTCAGCATTAATTCTTAATTTTCAGACATAAACGAGTGTGAGACAGGAAAACACAACTGTAACGCCACCAGTTCATTGTGCCGTAACACTATGGGATCATTTAGGTGTGCTTGCAGGAAGGGGTATAACGAAAGTGTACCTGAACATAATTGTACAGGTAAATATATATACCACCGAGCACTTCAAGATATGTTAATTGAAATGGGTACTTAAAAATATCTTCTTCTTTTCGGGCATGGCTTTACGTGAATCAGGTTTAACAGAAATTGTGTAATTCATCAAAAACTCTCGTTTTGTTTTCTTAGTTTGCCCATATTTTTTTCTTTTGCTTTGCTTTGAAAATAGAGATTGAATTAAAGAGATTGGAACTAACTACTTGAAGAGCGCAAAATAGCGCGAAGCACTCGCTCGTGGGCCATGCGCACTGTCCTTCATGAACTGGAATGAATGAGAGAATGACGCATTGTCGATGTGTTTTTTTTTACAGTATCAGGTTGCAAGGACATTTATGATACGACTTTGTGAGTACAGCAACTTTAGCAACAATTTTTACTACTTTTTTCGTCTCGATATAACACACAACTTTTCTCATATCATAGTAAATAGCAGTTTCTTCAGGTTGGGACTTTGGACAACGGCTTTCTTTGCGTACAATGTAACCACATCCCCCCCCCCCCAAATTAACTGTTTAAGCTTCGTCATGTGGAGCACTATGTCAGTTAGTGTTATCTGAAAAAGGTGTTTGCAATGGTTTTTACTAGGAGCAAAACCTCCCAAGTTTGAGCTTTAATTACATATTGCGGACAACTGAGATCTCGGAAAAATGAAATCATGGCTTTAATAGACATAGAGGAAATCTTGCTAGGACCAGTGTCAATACCAAATTTTAAAACATTAAGGGTCCACCTTTTTCAG